GAAACAAACCTCCCAGACCACGGCCACACAGCCCGGAAGACCCACCCCAGCCATTGGTTTATTTGATTCAGGCTAAAATAGATGCGTTGTTATTTCTGGCAACCCTTAAAGAACTTTCGCTGACATCAGGACTGAAATGATGAGGCTGTATGAATTTGTTTATAGATAAGAGTTGGGACATGAGATCAAGAGATCATTGGTTGTAAATTAAGAGGAGATGAAAAGTTATTAAAGCTGTTTATACTTTTTGTGATGAAGGTCGGAAGTCACTTCTTTATATAATTCTTTTCTCTTTCTTTATTATATTCTTTATTTCCTTTTCTTTCTTCTTTCTTTTTTTTTCTTTTATGATTTTTTCTTTTCCTTTGCACTTTTTACTCTTTCTTTCTACTCTTCTTTCTTTCTTTTAGTTCCTATTAGTTTTTACTATTTCAATTATAATCTTTAATAAAATTATTTTTAAAAAAGCACACATAGAATATAACATTGTTCTATGCATAGTGAAGTCATGACAACATTATGTCATTAAACCATGGCTATTTGTTATATTTTAGAAGCATTTCATCTTTTTGATCATAATATCAGTAACTAGAAACTGCAATTCTTACCATTGCTATTCTTTAGAAATTGTTACTCAGGACCAAGTTCATTTCCATTTAAAGTCTGGCAATTAGCATGCTGGAATTTAGATTTCACCAGATGATGCAATGCTCAGATAGTTTTGCTCGTCAAGATCATTTGCTGTGACAAGACTTGTTGACTGTAAGAGAATCCTTAAGGATCCATGACAAATTAGTCAGGGTGGATAACAGAATGAAACTAAAAATATTGATGAAAATATGTTTTCATCAAACACACAGGCAATAAAGGTAGTTTTAGCTAGCATCCTTTTTGTATTTCTTTATAAGGAGGAAAACTTTCTTTAATTCACGTCAGCTTATTTCACTTGCTTTTTTATTTATGTCAATTGGTTTAGCACTTTTGATTTTTTTCAACTTTATTATGATTATTGGTATTTGATGTCACAACTAATTGGATGGCTATCCTGCAGACTGTATATTTCTGTTCTCTTCTATTCAATATGTGGTCAAAAGGCATATATTAAAGCTGATTTCTTTATGCAATCTATACACTTACTTTGAGGTCAGTCCTTCTGAGCCTATTCATTGTCAGCCAACTACCCTTCTTGAAATGATTCTTACGTATTTACTGTCAGCTACTATCATTTTAAACCATCTGTAATTTCTTGAGTGAAAAGAATCAGCATTTATCTAAAAGTGAAGTGCAGTGTATATTGAAGTTACTGAAAAGAAGATCCTATGGAAATGAAAGACACTGCAGGACTAAAGGTGGAGACTGTAAAGAAAATAAGTTGGACTATTTATTATACAAGCTGTTGGGTTTTTTTTTTTTTTTGGTAACTCAAAGAAAAGCCATTAATGAGCCATTAAGAATCTTTCTTCCCTTTCCACTGAAAGAGATTTGTGTTGAGAAAGAAAGAGATTTTCATTTCTGGTGATTTTGAACAGATGCATTTCCCAATCTTTCCCCATCTCAAAGCCCTCATATATTTAACAATTTAATGTACTCCCTGTCAGAATCAGAAAGTGGCTACAATATAGCTAAAGTAGCATAGAGACATATATTAAAAAAATAAAATTCAATTTTTAAAATCCTTGAGGGCTTTCTAGTTCTATAACTGGAGTGAGTATCTTAAAGAGGTTTAGGAGACAAAAGAATCATGGTATAGTGAAAAAGATGGGCATCTTAGAGTTTGCCTGAAGGAGAGTACTCCTCCTCCTCTTTCTCTTCCTCCTCCTCCTGTCAGTATTGACTCCCGGCAACTGCCTGGACATGTCCCTGCAGTTTTCTTGGCAAGATTTTCAGAAGTGGGTTGCCCTTGCCTCCTTCCTAAGCCTGAATGAGAGGGACTAGCCCAAAGTCACCCAGCTGGCTTTGTGCCTAAGGTGGGACTAGAACTCATGGTCTCCTGGTTTCTAGCCAGGTGCCTTAACCACTACACTAAACTCTTTATGATTATTTTCTTCAAAGTTTTTTTTTTTCAATTTCCTAGTCTAGCCTACAACCCTGGAATTTTCTAGAAGTCTCCCATCCAAGGACTATCCAGGTCTGACCCTGCTTAGCTTTTTGAGATCAGTAAAGGCCAGCTAGATGCTACTATGTAGGACGTCTTTACTATGAAGGGTGTCCTTGTTATACCAAAATATTAATTGTGCCATAATAACTAGAATGTGGCATTAGTTGCAATGGAGAATTTTCCTTCTTTCTCTGGGTGTCAGCCTTGCAAGATAGTCCAGACAGGAAACACACCCAGATGAACCAATTTTACTTTGTTGTATGGTTACATTAACAGAATCTTGCAAGTCTGAAAGTACATTTCTCCCCCATCGCCTTTACAGCCCAAGAAACTAGGGTGGGTCGCTTCTGAGATGTTTGCCATCCCCACATTCCTGCTGCAGGCTAAGCTGCCTCTTATCTGACTGTTCTCCTGGCTGCATTTCCTCCCTCGGCTCCCAAGGTCATCCCCACATACCATACACTGGTTGACTAGATCTAGTACAGTAATAAAGAAAGATGGGGACCGTGTCCATATAATATTAATGTAGTTAATACATGCAGCATTAATACAGGTGGATAATGTCTCCAGTTTTACCAAGTTGTACTGCAAGAGTAAAAAATATGAAATGACCATCTGTAATGGGATCAGAGTACCCAGAACAGGAATGCAAATGAGCTCTAATCTAAAAAGCAAGCTTTTCTCCTCTGCTTCTTTGTTTTCCAGCTTTCCAGGGGGAAAAGGGATTTTTCTTGGCTCTTCCATGGGATATCATATTTAGA